GTGTGTGTGTGTGTGTGTGTGAGAGAGAGAGAGAGAGAGAGAGAGAGAGAGAGAGAAAAAAAAAAAAAAAAGGATAGAGAGAGGGGTATCGAAGAGGTGGTCACACTCTTAATGCATTTGAAGAACGGTAAGCTACATAGCACGACCGCCTCTTAGATGAGCGTTGTGCGTATGTGTTAAATGTGATGATTTTCTAGTGTGTGTGAGATTTATGTGTGCGGCGTACTCACACACCGGTACCACAATAGCAAAATGTGAATGAGACATGGCCGCAACTTTCTGAACATTGCTCCATTTGGTATCAGCGTGGTCACATTGCTGATAGCAGATGGTCGAATTTCTTTTATTGGGCTTTGTGTGTTTGTTTTTGTTTTTTTTTTGAAAATTTTCCTTCAAACGTTTCGGCCTGCACAAAGGCCAATAGCGCCGTTTTCTGTAGCGTGTTATCTCACCAGCGGGATGTCGATCTTCCTGCTTCTCCAACCTTGGTCACATACGGCGAGCAGACCAGGTGCTATGCACCTATGAAAGTGGACCACTTGCAAGAGTGGGTGTGGCGGGAGTGCAGTGGGAGCACGAAGACCAGGAAGTAGGGAGCAGGCCACGTAACGTCCGTACACCCACCGGTCGAACTCACATCTGCTCCAGACATCCGAGAAACGCTTACGATGATGTTGCGTCCGCTTACATCCACCTATTCCGTCATGTTTACGTCAACCTCCTATCCGCCTCCACTGCCCTCCACTGCATCCGACTGAAAACACACAACCCCTCAAGCCTCCTCAGAGCCCTTGGCACCCTAAAGCTACCGGTCTTCAATGGCAGGGCGCCCAAATTTCGGCCTCTCTCTCTCTCTCTCTCTCTCTCTCTCTCTCTCTCTCTCTCTCTCTCTCTCTCTCTCTCTCTCTCTCTCTCTCTCTCAATTGTGCATTTCAACAGAACCAGATGAACAAAAAAAACTAACTCCTTGGAGGTGGCTCAGTTGGAGCACCCATTACACAAACTGTCCGTCTCGATTGGAACTCAGGTGTGCATTTCAAGAGAGTATGTGTAATGAGTGCACCAACTAAGCCGACTCCGAGGAGTTTTTTTTTTTTTGTTCATCTGGTTTTGTTGAAATGCAGAACTGTTTGATGATATTATAACAGTGCTGCATACCCGGTCCTACCGGGGGGTCCACCCCCAACCGGAACTGGGCCAGTGGGACCGGCCGGTCGACTGGTCCGGTTGCCCCCCGGCGGCCTACAGCGCATCTGAGGAAAAAGGCCGAAACAATTTTTTTTTGGGCCAGGAGACCCCCACACGGGTTGTGGGGGCGTCCTGGCCCAAAAACAAATTCGAACCGGTACCGCAGGCCTGCCTGTGTGCATCCAAAACGACGGCCTCTCCGGACCGCTGATCGAGGCAGATCAGCGG